CTCGTGTACTGGAGGGCCACGGTGTTGCGGGAGTCAGGGGGGGGGGAGGGAAGCGTGAGGTCTATTCCTAAGCGGCGTAACACAATTCTAGACACACGTCGTGTCAATGTCAATAGTGGACAGGTTGGTTTGACTAATAGTCGGAAACAAGTGAGTTTGGAAACATGTAAGTAACCCAAAACATGCTATTACCTCCGTTTTAACACTGATATAGACAGATATCTGCATATATTGATATAGACAAACATCGGCTTATATTGATATAGACAAACATCGGCCTATATTGATATAGACAAACATCGGCCTATATTGATATAGACAAACATCGGCCTATATTGATATAGACAAACATCGGCCTATATTGATATAGACAAACATCGGCCTATATTGATATAGACAAACATCGGCCTATATTGATATAGACAGACATCGGGCTATATTGATATAGACAAACATCGGCCTATATTGATATAGACAGACAATGGCCTATATTGATATAGACAGACATCGGCCTATATTGATATAGACAGACATCGGGCTATATTGATATAGACAGACAATGGCCTATATTGATATAGACAGACATCGGGCTATATTGATATAGACAAACATCGGCCTATATTGATATAGACAGACAATGGCCTATATTGATATAGACAGACATCGGTTTTTTATATAGACAGACATCGGTATACATTGATGTTTGTTTTACGCATCGACGTATATACAAATTACACTTGTATATGTTGTAGTGTTACATATACTACATACTGTTCTTGTTGTAGTTTGTAATGGTATTAAAGATATCACAGGCTAACTATGTTGTGTTACAGATACCGCATACTGTATATATTGTAGTGTTACAGTTACCACATACTGTTCTTGTTGTAGTGTTACAAATACCACATAATGTATATGTTGTACGGTTACATATACCGCATATTGTTGTGTTACATATAACACATACTGTATATGTTGTTGTGTTACGGCAGAGGCGTAGCGACCCTTCCCGGCGCCCGAGGACAAACTTTCAATTTTCGATTTGCACCCTCGACCCCCCTCGAACTTTCGATTTGCACCCCCCCCCCCCTCAAACTTTCGATATATATTTTTTTATATTTATAAAGCAAAAATGCAGCTGAAATGAGATTTTAATTTGTTTTTCCAACCCATTTTGGCGCCCCCTAACGTCGGCGCCCGGGAACATATGTATCCCCCTGCCCCCCCCCCCCCCCTTCGCTTCGCCTCTGTGTTACAGATACAACATACTGTATGTGTTGAAGTGTTACATATACCGCATACTGTTTATGTTGTAGTGTTACATATACCACATACTGTAGGTCTACATGTTGTAGTGTTACATATACCACATACTGTTTATGTTGTAGTGTTACATATACCACATACTGTATATGTTGTAGTGTTACATATTCCACATACTGTTTATGTTGTAGTGTTACATATACCACATATTGTATATGTTGTAGAGTTACATATACCACATACTGTTTATGTTGTAGTGTTACATATACCACATACTGTGCATGTTGTAGTGTTACATATACCACATACTGCATATGATGTAGTATTACATATACCTTATGTTGTATATGTTGTAGTGTTCCATATACCACATACTGTTTATGTTGTAGTGTTACATATACCACATACTGTAAATGTTGTAGTGTTACATATACCACATACTGTAGGCCTACATGTTGTTGTGGTGTTAAAGACACCACATACTGTAGGCCTACATGTTGTTGTGGTGTTAAAGACACCACATACAATGAGGAGGTCGGTGCAAAGAAGCGACGGTTAAATTATTGACGGGCCGTGACGTCACGAAGACAAACACGAGTGTTAACACCGATAAGTTTGTGTGTGTGTGTGTGTGTGTGGTGTGTGAGTGTGGGTAGGTGGGCTGGACGATTGGGGGTGGGGGTGGAATCTCTGAATCAATACCCCGACTACCAAACGGCTCGTTGGTAAATATGGCGGTGTTTTTACGAAGAGTCGGGCACGTGATTTTTTATGGAAGTTTGAAACGAACCAATCAGGGTGAAGAAGGAAATAAAAATACTGAGGCTAAAATATCCAAGTGGTACCATTATTTTTCTTATTTTTTGGTCCGGTACCAAGTTTTTTTCCGTATGACTAATGCTTTGTAAGTCCATTGTAAGTCCAGATATGATTCCTTCTATACACTGTGCAGGGTTTTATGTCGGTGTGTCTATGATGAACAGAAGACGAGGAATGTATAACCCCGTCTTAAGATACAGCATTACTAAATGCTATAGAACTTAGAGGAACCAACCCGAAAAGCCAGAGCTGACTTTGAGGTGGGGGATACCCATTGTAATGGAGATGGTGGGGCGGACGTAACGTGAGACAAGTCCATTCAGAATGTGGGGGGGGGGGGGTGGAGGCTTGCTCATTCCATGAAAGTCAAACCATAGTAGTGAATGATTATAAAGCGGGAGTGCGCTCCCTTGGATATTCTTGAATGTTCTCATGTGATAGTTGGGATAGCCTTCAGTCGAATCGGGCTATAGAAATGGTAGGTACGTTTGAGAAGAAGAAACATTCGATTTTCACGAAAACACATACAGGCGAAAAGTTTTTTTTTTAAATTGACTGTTTTATGAGCGTATACGACATCAAATTCTGTAGGTTCTTGTCAAACCGGAAATAAAGTACCATTTGTGGTTACTGGAAATCTCCTAAAGGTTGATAGAAACCTACATATACAAAACTTAATTTATATGAAGTTTCATCCACCTAACTGAAACTATTAAGTTATTGTGTTTTAATAAACACACACAGACACACACAGACGCACACACACGCACACGCACACACACGTACATACGCACGCACGCACGCACGCACACACACACATACACACATACATATTAGATTGCAAAAGTAGGTTTTGCTGACTGAGTTGAGTATGATATCTCGACTTCGATTTTTTGCTTGATTACAATATTTCATCTTGTACCTGGTATACGAGGAAGTAAAATTAATGCTCATATGTCAGTAACGCGATCACCAGCGTTATACTTAGGTTTTTAACGTAGCTAAGCGATTCATTAAATATTAATGTCGATTAGGCTAGATACTATTTTAATCTTCATCTATCACAACACAATTGTAAGCGCTAGACTACTAACCCGTAAGTCTCGAGTTCGAATCAGGGTTTTTAAGTCAGTAGAACGTCCCTGAGTTCACCCAGCTCTGATGGGTACCTAACCCACGTTAGGGAAAGTAAAATGGGCTGGGCATAGTGCTGACCACAATATCGCTTTATATGCCGAGGTCACAGAAACAGGTGAACTCTACTTTACTTTCCCTTTAGACCGCCAGGTTCAAAAAGATAAATGTATCTCGTTGTCTTTATTTGTCCCCCTGCATATTCGTGATCTGATTATAACATTTCGTTAAATATTTCATACAATATATTTTTTAAAGAAAGGTATCATTTTACAATTTAAAATTCCTTCTAACAAGCCCATTGAACGAAGGTTGCGTTAATATATATTCCGATATTTAGTGTTTGATTTCAAATGCAATATTTATGCTAGTCCATGAATTATACTCAGATCGTATCTATTCCCAAAACATAAACGTTCAGCAATATTTGAATCATTCAAACGACTATGAACTAAATTCAATGCGGCTGTCAGTGAATACCAAATATTAAATAGTAATATATCGATCTCAGAGTATGCGTGCAACAGAATATATTATGTGGCACAGACTATGAGTGGACCAGAATATGAGTGGACAAAATTTGAGTACTACATGAGAGGCACCGTCTGGAAGATCAAAGGTCACCATCGACCACGCGCGTGCAGTAATACGTCACAGGCGGAAGCTATTGGTACACTCTAACCTAGCCAATAGAAATCGTGGAATTACTTGCAACATATTTTTTTAAGATTATAGCATTTAAAGAAATAAAAAAATAAAATGGAGTTAATCTTTTGCAAAAGTAGGTCTATTTATAAACCTTGCTTCTAAATTAATGAACAGCAAAGATTTGTTGTGATTCTTACAACATATGACAAGGTATGTATTTATGTTGTCAAATGGATGCCATGATTTAGCGGAGATTTATCGCAGGTTCTGGTACACGATTACACATGTAAAAGCTGCCTTTAATGATCAGACAATCAACAGGGTGGGTGAAGTAGAGTGTACTATTTACCGTGAGTTTGGCTAAGAGTTGTCAGCTCTTTGCCCAATGGCCGTTAATTTCCATAAGATATATCCGGTACTTATTTGAACTGGGTAGACTCAGGGGCGTCATACGAATTAGGGAACCGACCTCGAGACTATCGGGTTTTTGCAAACGAGCGCTATATCGCTCGCCCACTAAGTATGATACTCTTGATCACCCTTATGAATAGCTGGATGATGTTAACGACATTCCCTATGGATAATTGGATGATGTTACAGACATTCCCTATGGATAGCTGGATGATGTTACAGACATTCCCTATGGATAATTGGATGATGTTACAGACATTCCCTATGGATAGCTGGATGATGTTACAGACATTCCCTATGGATAGCTGGATGATGTTAACGACATTCCCTATGGATAACTGGATGATGTTACAGACATTCCCTATGGATAGCTAGATGATGTTACAGACATTCGCTATGGATAGCTGGATGATGTTACAGACATTCCCTATGGATAGCTGGATGATGTTAACGACATTCCCTATGGATAGCTGGATTATGTTACAGACATCCCTTATGGATAGCTGTATGATGTTACATAAATCCCCTATGGATAACTGGATGATGTTACTGACGTTCTCTATGGATAACTGGATATTACAGACATCCCCTACGGACAGCTGAAGATGTTACAGACATCCCCTATGGATAACTGGATGATGTTACAGAAATCCCCTATAGATACATGGATGATGTTACTGACGTTCTCTGTGGATACATGGACAGTACAGACACTATCCACCAACCTGGATAACGATGCCGTAGACGGCCGACGTTGACCCGCGCCATTCCTGTCGTTGATGTCATCGTCAGCGTCGACGATGAGCTGTAGCTGGAGGTCGGGAGGGGGGGCCGGGGCCAAGGTCTGGGTGGGTGGCAGCTTGGCCATGGCTGGGTAGTGGCAGGACTAGCGTGAGCACATGATGTGACGGTTGGTGTGGTGGGGTGATGTGGGCTGCATGGTCAGGCTGAAATAGAACAAGACACGACACGTTTGTTAATGGTGGGGCTAGGTAAGAGTAATAACAGATTTCTGATTTAGATATACAAAGGTATATAAAGATATATATACACACACCACATATATATAATTATATATATAATTACATACACCCAATATATATATATATGTAAAAATTTATTCATATCTATATATACACAAAAGTATACATATTATATATATATATATATATATATATATATATATATATATATATATATATATTGTATATATATACATATATATTTATATTATATTATGTATATGTGTTATGATGCATGTTTGACTGGGGAGATCGGTGCGCAGGATTGATGGTGCGGCCGTATATTGAACGAGTGAGTGTGTGACGCTGTACGCAAGAAAGTGACGTTTTAGTGTGAGTTCCGTTGTTGCCGGGGAAGAAGATTGAAGTTAGTCTTGTCCGTGTTATGTTAGGGTTAGGTTGTCTAGTCTTAGTATCGTTTATTCAAGCTGTCCAATGTCTATTTCTATAGTGCAATAAATGGAATTAGTAAACAGTGTCATTATGTCAAATCTATTGTAAGCGTTGATGTCGTCGTGTCTCAAGATATACTGTAGCATAGCTAAACATAATCAAATGGTAGTGATATGGAAAGATGGTATTGAATCAGGTAGTTGTACCCTCTCACTGCATAACTGTGGTACATATAGAACACAGCAGTTATAACAATATGTATGTTTTTATATGTGTATATATGTATATATATACATATATGTATGTATGTATATTTTTATGTATATTTGTGTTTATTTGCAAATATGTTAGTATGTATACATGTATGTATATTATATATATATCATATTATATATATATATATATATATATATATATATATATATATATATATATATATATATATATCGATATATATATATATCGATATATATGCAAATATATGTGTATACATATTCGTATTATGTACACATGTATGTATGACTTATATGTATACTTGTCAATCAAAACTTTGTTTCCCATGTTCCCGTTGAAACATGAAGAGGAAGTTGATCCACTAATCTGTGTGTAACAAGTAAAGCCCACGGAAAAAGCCCTTCTCTAACGTTATAGGGTAGCCGGGACAGGAAATATTTCAGACCATAATCCAGACGGATGGCTTCAACTAACCCAGAGTTTTAAATTGATAGTTTTAGGACACGGTTTTTTGATGTATGACATGGTTATCAATTTTAGGGAGATTGTCCTTGTTAGCGGCGTGGTGGGTGGCTGGAGATTTGGTGTGCAGGGTGTGGAGTTATGAAAGGCCGAAATCCTAGCATTGGCCGACTTCGGGCTTTGACCGTAACATATATAATGTGTGTGTGTGTGTGTGGGGCGGGGGATTACAGGTATGAGCAGAAACTGTAGACTAGAGACAGCTATTTTATGTATTTTTTCGCTGTTGATTACTTATACAAGAATCCCTGGAGAGGAGTTAGGGCGAAATACCCCCCCCCCACCCCCCCCCCCCCCCACACACACACACAAACACACACCCAAAGTTTGGAGGAAAAAAGTAGAAACATGTAGGTCTCTAAAAATATCCACATTTTTTAGTTATTTGTAATTTTTATATTTAATTCACGTTCTATTTTTAATATTTCGTAACGTATATTTGTATTGCTATAGGCGGAAGTCAGGAAGGACAAGAATTAGCTAAACTACCCCCCCCCCATACTAATTAGTCTGTTTCTACTCCCTCTACCATCACACTAGTTAGCTTCTCTTATGGTTTCGCTAATATTACACAACTAATAAAGTAACACCTCTGTATTAACACAAATAGAGTAACACAACTAAGGTAACACCACTGAAGTAACACAACTGAAGTAATACAACTAATAAAGTAGCACATCTGAAGTAATACAACTAATAAAGTAACGTATCTGAAGTAATACACATAGAGTAACATCCTAAAGTAACATAATACTTATAACCACACAACAATTAATGTTACACAAAATAAAATATCTCACACACAGAAGTACCTTTGTCCCTTTTAATTATATATTTATAATAAACCATTCTGGTCAGTAATTATTGCAGACACTATCTAAATGCCTATACACGTTTAACCGAGTTATAACATCTAAGCCCTAGTTCGTCTAGCTTAAAACTTCACATCAGAAGCGATATGGAGGGGACGGCATATGCTCAGAACTCTGAATCGAGCAAAAAATCAATAGGTCCCATCAAAATATTTTTGACGAGCGTAGAGTCTTCATTTCTTATGTATTTGTAGTTGTGACTAAGTATTGTATAAGTTATAACATTTATTGTAAAATTTAACCCGTATATTGTACTAATTATCAGTTTTTTACACAATTATAATTTTTTTGTCTCAATTATTCTACAAATTATCCCAATATTTTTTCGAACTATACATATATTTTGCGACTAACTTCACTAGTAACCCACACCATTGTTATTTCACTAGAGTAACCACGATGGTACAATATGTGTTCTTTAGAATAACCATAATGGTAAAATATATTTTTTAAATAAAAATAACTGTTTTTTTAAAATAATATAAACTTGTGTTCTTTAGACTATTTTTTCATAGTGTCAAGTTGACCCGTGTCCACACTTATTACTGTTTGGCCGTAAATTACTTTGTTGTCGCAAATGTATGTCGTTGTTTTGTTTATAAGTATAGGTTATTAAAAGTAGAGGGGGGTAAATTGAACGCACCAACCTAATGTGTCCGCAGTGTTAATGTGATGAAATTACCCCTCAAATAATGGAACAGCTGTTACCATGGCAACATAGAATAGACAGCCCGTGGTGAATCCGCCGGGAGAAGAAATGGCCAGCTGACTTAATTGACCAATCAGGCGTGTCCGAATTCAGAGCCAGCCGAGTCTTCGCTGGTGGACACGTCAATGGCCAGGTGCTAGTTGGTTGGTGCAATCAAAATATTAGTCGTATTGCCAGGTTGGCTAGTTCAATCAAAATATTAGTCATGTTGCCAGACATTGGTTGGCAAGTTCAATAAAAATATTAGCCATGTGGCCAGGTGCTAGTCGGCAAGTTCAATCAAAATATTGGATGATTTAATCAAAACATTAGCCTTGTGGCCAGGTACTTGTTGGTTAGTTCAATCAAATATTAACAATTTGTAGTACTACTAGTTGGCATATCATACAATAGTGCGATGATAAGTTGTTTGATAATTATGCAGCTATATTTCCCTCATAGACTGTGTACCATATACTAAAGTAACTACAGCAACTGTTTTCATTTACAGTAAAACCATTTTTTAAAATCCTCCTCCTATCCTCAATGATGGTACAACTAATTAGTTTTAACCAGTGACCACAACAATAAGTTTAAATACACTTAGTCAGGTCACGAGGTACAGGCAATTTGTGAACCGGAAATAAGATCTAACCTGTTTAGCTGAACACGAAAATAAACAGAGGGATAGAGAGAGAGAGAGAGAGAGAGAGAGAGAGAGATAGAGAGAGAGCTGGATGGGTAGAGAATTGGGGGAGGTATTCAGCTAAATCTAATCATTTGCTAAAAAAAACCTTTGTTGTTAAAATGACATTGGTTTATTCAGTATAAAATCCAATAGAGGGACAAATTCTAGTTGAACAGAGAAGAGCGTGGGGCACGCTACATCATGATGGTTATTTGAAAGAATAAATTCGCTTCGCTTTATGGGACGGGAAGGCGGAATCGTGAAGGCGGATTAACAGCTGTTTTAATTACATGGTTGTGGTTTTATTTTGGACAATGCTAGGACAGTGATAGGTAGGACAATGGTAGGACAGTGGTAGGACACTGGTAGGACAGTGATAGGACAATGGTAGGACAGTGATAGGACAATGGTTGGACAGTATAAGGACAATGGTAGGACAGTGGTAGGACACTGGTAGGACAGTGATAGGACACTGGTAGGACAGTGGTAAGACAATGGTAGTACAGTGATAGGACAATGGTAGGACAGTGGTAAGACAATGGTAGTACAGTGATAGGACAATAGTAGGACAGTGGTAGGACAATGGTAGTACAGTGACTGGACAATAGTAGGACAGTGATAGGACAATGGTAGGACAGTATAAGGACAATGGTAGGACAGTGGTAGGACAATGGTAGGACAATGGTAGGACAGTATAAGGACAATGGTAGGACAGTGATAGGACAGTGATAGGACAGTGATAGGACAATGGTAGGACAATGAAAGGACATTAATAGAACAATTGCAGGACAAGAGTAAAACAAAGACTGGACGTTGAGAGAAAGGCTATGGGGGCAGGAGACCACATTGAACAACCACTTCATTAAAATAATACCAGACCCCCTTACCCCAACATCTATAGCGACGTAACAACGTTACCTCATCTCAAAGTAAATTAACCTCATTTTTTAATGTTCGGTATGTTTTTTTCTTTAATATAATTTAAAAAACTTACTTCCACACTCATTCATTACAACTGTGAAATATAAAAAAAAAGTCCATATTGAAAAACCCACCAGCTCTGATTGCTACCTCTATGTAGGTAATTTGTATGCACTAAAATCCCGTAACTAACGTCGATACATGATTTCCACAATTACTAGTCGCTAGAAACCCTGGCCGCGCCTCACACCAAAAAATCTAATGGATGAAATTTTTGTATTTCCGGTCACGCCGCGAGCAATGAGGCGTGAAAAAAACTAAATTATAGTGTGAGCACAATTTCACTTTTCGCCAGCCGTTGTCTGGTGGTTGCACGTTTTGTTGATTTGACTTTTCTGAGCAGTTCACTCGTCTATGCGCTAATTCTGGTCATCGGGAAAATCCGGAGGTCAAATAAGTGCTCTGACGTCATCGTGTTATATAGTTAAAGGAAGTTTAACCAAAAGCAAATGATAATAAGACGGCTTCAAATATTACGATACGGCGACATAATGCAGCATCAAAAAATACCAGATTCTTCCAGACTTGACT